CCCCTCCTCTCTCCCTCTCCCTTCCTCTCCTCCCTCCTTCTCTTTCCGTCCCTCCCTTTCTCTCTTCCTCTCCCTCTTTCTCTCTTCCTCTCCCTTTCTCCCTCTCCCTTCCTCTCTCCCTCCCTCCCTCTCTTTGCCTCCCTCCCACCCTCTTTCCCTCCCTCTCCCTCCCTCTCTCTCCCCTCCTCTCTCCCTCTCCCTTCCTCTCCTCCCTCCGTTTCCCTCCCTCCCTTTCTCTCTTCCTCTCCCTCTTTCTCCCTCCCTTCCTCTCTCCCTCCTCTATCCCTCTCCCTTCCTCTCTCCCGCCCTCTTTCCCTCCCTCCCTTTCTTTCTTCCTTCCTCTTTCTCTTCCTCTCCCTCTTTCTCCCTCTCCCTTCCTCCCTTCCTCCCTCCCAGCCTCTTTCCCTCCCTCCCTCTCTCTCCCTTCCTCTCTCCCACTCCCTCCCTCTCTCTCTTTCTCTCCCTCCCTCTTCCCCACCCCAAAAATCTGAAGAGGAGAGTTTGCAGGGGGGGTGGGGGAGGGAAATTCCAGGGCTGGTCCTTCCAAAGTGAGAGGACGATGAACAGGTTGCACGAAATGATGAGCGTGATTTCGCTCGCCCAAAAGGCTAACCAAGGCAGAGAAGGAAGGTGGTCGGTCACCTGCCACTTGCCAGGGTTCACACAATATCCAAACCAAGGACAGGTAGTCTGCTTAGTGACCATTTGAAGTTACAACGGCACTGAAAAAAGTGATGTGTGACCGTTTTTCACACTTATGACCGTTGCCGCGTCCCCATGTTCGTGTGATTTACATTCAGATGCATGACCACTGGTTCATATTTACGACGGTTGCCGTGTCCCTGGGGTCATGTGACCGTCTTTTGCCACCTTCTGACAAAGTCAACGCGGGAAGCCAGATTCACTTAACAATGGTGTCAATGGTGGGATTCAAATTACAGATAACAGATAACAGATAATCAGAGTTGGAAGGGACCTTATAGGTCATCTAGTCCAACCCCCTTCAAAAGCTGGAGACCCTACACCATTTCTGACAACTGGCAGTCCAATCTCTTCTTGAAGGTCTCAAGTGGTGGTGCTCCCACAACTTCTAATTTTTTTTTTACTACCAGTTCTATGGGCGCGGCTTGGTGGGTGTGGCAGGGGAAAGTTACTGCAAAATCCCATTCCCTCCCCACCCCACTAACCTGCTTTCCAGCTCCGTTCTCCTGTGCAGGGCAACCAAAGAAGACCCAGCCAATCAGCTGGGACTCAGGAGGCAGAGAATAGATGGGGGCGGGGCCAGTCAGAGGTGGGATTTGCTGGTTCTCCAAAACTACTCAAAATTTCCACTACCGGTTCTCCAGAGCTGGTTAGAACCTGCTAAATACCACCTCTCGTACCCACAAGTCACTTTTTTTTCAGTGCTGTTGTAACTACAAGTGGTCCCTAAGCAAATGGTTGTAAATCATTTGTAAATCATAAGTCATGTGGTTGTTAAGCAGCCTATCACATGACCAGACTTGATTTTACGGCCGTTTTAATGATGGCATAAAGTGAGTCACCTTGGTTATTAAGCAAGGCCTGTTGGCAAAACCGGGTCTTCAAGGCTTTGCAAAAGAGTGTAAAATTGGGGGCCAGTCTAATCTCTGCAGAGATATTTCCAAAGGGAAGGAGCCACCACGGAAAAGGCCCTTCTGGGTCCTGCCAGATGTAGCTCCTTAGGAGGCGGGTTGAGGGGATGTAACTGGGAAAAGACAGTCCTTCAGATTAGCCGGTCCCAAGCCATGAAGGGCTTTAACCAGCCCCTTGATTTGCACCTGGAAGCAAATCAACAGCTAATGCAGCTCATGTTAGGAGGGGTGACTTAGGTGCACACCTGGGTTTCTGCAAAACCATGTGGGCTGCTTCATTTTGAACCAATTGGAGCTTCCAGGTGCTTTTCAAGGGCAGCCCCATGTACAGCACATTGCAATAGTCAAGATGAGAGGTAACTAAGGCATGAGTAACTGTGAGAAGGGATTGTTGGTCCAGGAAAGGGTGCAACTGTCTCACAACCCATAGTTGTGCAGAGGTTCTCCTGGCCAGACACAGGAGCAGCAGTCACAACTTTGAGGCTGGATTGTAAATGACATTTTTGAAGTCAGTTGTAACTTTGAACAGTTGTTAGCAACCAGTAATAAGTCAAGAACTACGTGTGCTTGTGTATAAATTATCCTTTAGTCAAATGTACCGAGGGGAAAAAAGCTGATTTCCTGAACAGGGAATTCATACTACATTTATGTGGTCCTTATCCAAGGATCCAAGGTGGCTCAGTGGCTAAGACGCTGAGCTTGTGGATCAGAAAAGTTGGCAGTTCGAATCCCTAGCGCCACGTAACGGAGTGAGCTCCCGGTACTTGTCCCAGCTTCTGCCAACTTAGCAGTTCAAAAGCATGTAAAAATGCAAGTAGAGAAATAGGGACCACCTTTGGTGGGAAGATAACAGCGTTCCATGCACCTTCGGTGTTTAGTCATGTCGGCCACATGACCAGAGATGTCTTTGGACAGCGCCGGCTCTTTGGCTTAGAAACGGAGATGTGCACTGCCCCCTAGAGTCGGAAATGACTGGCACGTATGTGCGAGGAGAACCTTTACCTTATCCAAACTAAAGCCTGCTTTGTACAAGAAACACTTTAACTGTGTTTGCACAACATATTCAAGCAGGTTAAACATGTAGCTGATGTATTGGCTCAAAAAGTTAACCTTGGATGGTTTATGAGTGCAGTTGGGGTCATTGCTCATTTGGTAACTTTACACTTCAGTGAATTGCATAAAACTCAGAAAAATGGGTTCAGCAATAAAGTAACTAAGCTTCAGGTAGTGTAGATGTATTTAGAGAACTAGAATCCATAACGCGTTCATATGACACATTAACCTGCAATAGCTTACTTCATTCCAATTTTCTAGGATTGTCTATCAATAAAATTAGCTATGAGTTATTTATACAATGCATTAAACAAGAAACAGGTGGTCAATATTCGCTTCTATTTCTGCTAGAAAAATAAAACATTTGATGAACTCACCTCACGTCTGTTGTAGGGAAAAGGGAATATTAGGTATGTTTGCCATCTTGAGTTATTTATAAAAATTATACAGCAGGGATTTTTAAAAAATCTAAACTAACTAAATAAATAACCTGAGAACTTGAGAAAATCATGTCCCCCGTTGATCCTAATAATTTCTAGGACATTCCATAGCAGAAGCAAACACAAACTATGATGGAGACTTTTCATGGTGCTGACAGGCTCATGTTTTAACCTACGATTCCCTGAATCCAATTATCTAGCTTTTCTCTGGATACTGGACGTGTTCACTCAACACACTGAATGCTAATCTCAGATTAACCAACATTGCTTCATTCATACAAAGCACTATGCTGAAAAAATACAGTATAAAAATGATTTTTTAAAAACTTGATGCCATCCCATATATTGCATTAATATGGTCTGGTTCTCACAATTTGCCAACATAATGATTGGATTCATGTGACTGCACAAATCACCCAACCTGTCAATCATTAATCTAGTATTTCTCCAAAGGTGGATAACAATTAATATGGATGGATCATTCATATCTCAAAGGGAAAGTGTTCATATTCTGCAAATGCAGAAATGAGATGGAATTCTGGAAAATGGCATCTTAGGGGAGAATGAAAATGGATTTTTGGGAGAGGGATGTCAAGTTAAATGACTGTCATGGAAAAAAATATATGTAGTCACTATCCCAAAGGTGCTTTTTTCAAGAGGCAGCAGGACTTTCTGGTTTTTCTTTGAAGACGTTGTGCTTCTCATCCAAGAAGCTTCTTCAGGTTTTTGGGGGAATGCTCCAATGGCCAGAACTGAAGAAGCTTCTTGGATGAGAAGCAAAATGTCTTCAAAGAAAAACCAGAAAGTCCAGTTGGTTCTTGAAAAAAAAAAAAGCAACCATGGGACATGGTTTGGGACAACCATGACTTGGATGATTGAGAATCTCCACACGTCCATAGTCAGTAGGAATTGAAAACAACTTGGTGGAACGTAATAAAAAATGATTCATGTATAGTTTAATAATTATATTAGACATTTCACAGAGACAGTGACAGGGCAAGAAACTGGTACTCTCAAAATAAAACTTCTCATACCCATTATACATTTTTGGTGCTATGTCCCAAAGAATTCTACATGGTGCAAGGATGAAGGTTTGGGCTAGATGAGAAAGTTAGATTCAAATCTAAACCCTGGCCATGGAAGATACTGGTTTGTTCATGTGATTTCTATCTGGCCTTTATTACTTTTACAAGTAACTCAAGGCAAATATATCCAACACCCCTTCCTCCTCCTATTTTTCCCACAAGAACAATCCTGTGAGGTGAATTGGGCTGAGTGAAAGGGACTGTCCCAAAGCCACTCAGCTGGTTGATCTGGCCCAGTTATTTTCTTGGCCCAACCTACCCCACTAGCTAGGCCTCTTTGGGCTCTGGAATGAAAGGCACAATATAAACAAAATCATATGCTTGTAGGGAACTATATTAAACCGAATGGGGTTTATTCTGGAGTACACACATAAAAGAGATACAGAAAATGAAAAAAAAAAGTTTTTCAGCGAGTACAAGAACATTTATTTATTTAATTACACATATAAGGCCACCCAACTCTGTATCTACTCTGGGCAGCACACAATGCAGTTTAAGTTAGGTGTACATTACATCCTTTAACTGCTGCTGGAGATTCTAGCTGAAATGCTCAGTAATCAGGCTGTGCTTTAGGAGCATAATCAATCATAGATGTGCCTGGGGCTTCATCTTGATGCCATGGTCCATCCCCCCTTTCCAACATCAGATGACTTGCCTCTGCTTCCAATTTCCTGTTAAAGGAAAGGAGAGGAAAGAGAAAGAAAAAAAAGAAACCGTGAAGCAATATTTTCTAATATTAGCCACGTGATTATATTTCAATAACACGGAAAATGGAATGTGTTTAATTTGACAAGCAGGGATGGAAAACTGTGAGGACCCAGGGTGGGATACAAAACAAACACAGTCACAGAAAACAGGTGAAGACCCTTTTATTCCTTCACTTTGCTTCCAAGCTCCAAATAACCTTGACGGAAGACAAAAAACTCCCACCCAAACAGTTACAAGAAGAAGGGAAAAAGCAACACAAACCAGGCAAGATAAGGGCTGGAGGACCTCCACAGATAACACACACTGGGAAGGATGCCAAACTCAGAAAGGAATCATAAACTAGAGATATTTCCACGCTTTGTTTCCAGCGCTCGCCCATACGCAGGCCTGTACCCTTATTCAGTTGTCACAGTTGCAGCCTATGAAGAGGATCAAGGCCCTCTCCTCCCGAGTAGACCATGTCTCTCCTTTATCCTCTCCTCCCTGCATGCTCTAGGATGGATAGGGGATGGGTCTAGGTCTTCCTCTGACTGCTCAGCCGGCCTCTGCCCTTCCACAACCTCCAGAGCCACACTTCCACTCCCTGTCGATTGTTCCTCCTCTCCCTCAGAGTCAGTCTCCACCAGGGGCATGACAGAAAACCATATGCTACTAGATAACTGGGCTCCTTTTACTAAGCCTATTGCCCCAACCTGGTTGACCTCCAATCAAATGGACATCCACTCCCAGAATTCCACAGGAAGCATAGCCATTGCTGAAAAATCTAACACTGAATTGTAGCCTTAAGATTTCCTCAGGAAAGGATATACTCTATCCTGTTGCTGGCTTTCAGACAGCTTCCTCTCCAGTCTGAATAGAGATGGGGTTGCTTCACTGAGTTGGTTACTCAGCCTATCTTTTCAGAAAGCATCCATATTATTTTTTTCTGAAAGACAATGTCAGACATGCATCCAAGGAAGTGAAGGTTAGATAAAATATTCTCCCTTGGGGTAAGGGATTAAATTGGATTATCTCTTTGTATTTCCACAATTTGAACGTGATTTGAACCCTGGGACTCAGGAGGAGAACTTTTCTACGTGACATTCACTCTCAGGAATACCGTTCCTCTCAGGTCAGATTGGCCCGGACGTTCTTGGACACACACTCTGTCTCTCTCTCTCTTTGCGCACCTGTGTGTAACTCTACTGAATTTCAAAGAAACAACAATAAATAAGCAAGGGGAAAAAAAGAAGTGGCAAAAAGCAATGGTAGGTGAAAAGCAAGATAAAAGTGCAAAAAGAAAAGAGAAAGACATGGCTTGGTCATCTGGCCTGGGGATCCAATAACATGCAAAATGGCTGTAGTGCTAGGAAAACCGAGTGTGCTCTCCCACATATTTTGTTATTTAATCATTTTTATTTTCTTTTAATGTTTTTTTAATTTTGTGTGCGTGCCATTTTTAGCTATTGTTGCATTGCTTTCACTTTGTACGCTGCTTAGAGTCACTTAGGCTAGATGGGCAGCAGCTGCATACATTTTACCAAATGAGGAAGGCTTTTCAAATCTTATCACAGCGATCTTATCACAGCCACCTCAAAAGAACGTATAAAACAGGAAAGAAAATAACAGGTAGCCCACAACTTACAAGCACTCGTTTAGTGGCTGTTTTAAGTTACAACGATACTTTAAAAAAAAAAGACTTATGATTAGTTTTTTTCCCCACACTTATGACCGTTACAACATCCCCATGGCCAAGGGGTCAAAACTCAGAATCTTGACAACTGGCATGTATTTATGATGGTTGCAGAATCCCAGAGTCGTGTGGTCCACATTTGCGACCTTCTGACAAGCAGAGTCAATGGGGAATCCAGATTCACTTAACAACCGTGTTACTCACATGACAACTATGGCAAGAAAGATCAGGAAATTGGGCAAAGAAATCACTTAACAAGTGTCTCGCTGAGCCATAGAAATTTTGGGCTCAATTGTGTTCACAAATTGAGGACTACCTGTACTGCAGGATGATGATATCCATATTCTTTTCACAGAAAAAAAGGAAGGAATGGGAAGAAAAGGAATATCTGGGTGATAGAGAAAGCAAAATATGATATGATACATGACATCTTTTGTTCCCTTTGTCATGTAACATTCAATCCTCCCCATATGTATTGCTTGAGCTTCCAGAGGGAAGGTGAGATGGAAATGCATTAAACAAATTAAGAAGGGGTGGGATTCAAATTTTTTAACAACCGGTTCTGTGGGTGTGGCTGTTGGTGGGCGTGGCTTGGTGGTCATGTGACTGGCTGGGTGTGGCCAACTCAATATCACTCACATCGAGGAACGCATCTCCTCACCTGGCCTCTCATGACTGTGAGGATTCTGCAACAGTCGTAAGTGTGAAAAATGGTCATAAGTCACTTTTTTCAGTGCCATTGTAACTTTGAATAGTCACTCCACACAAGCAAAGTACCAGCAAAGGAGGGGGAAAAAACTCCAGAGACGTTCCTGAGACAGGGAGTCTCGTCCTGCCAAGAATGTAATAAGGGTTAACGGAGAGGCAGTTTCTGTAAGCAACACCAGAATGTTTCCTTCCTGCCTTCCTTACAGGATTAGGCCAGTAATTTCTTCTAACAACCGGTTCTCCAAACTGCTTAGAATGTTAACAACCGGCTCTAGCGAATAGGTGCGAACCTGTAGAATCCCACTCCTGAAGTTAAGTGGTAACTACATAAACAAAACAGCGCTCAGCTCAGTGATGGCTAACCTTTTTGTTGTCGCATGCCAAAAGTGTGCGCACACGCATGCCTGCATCCATAATGCAATGCGCGCATGAACCCCTCCCCGTGCTCCCCCTGCCCCTGCGCATGCATCTCCTGCGTGCACCCCGCCCCTCACGCATGCACGGCAGATACCCGAAAATCAGCTGGCTGGCGGGAGGCGAGCACGCATGCGCAGTGGAACTGAGCTGGGGCGTCGGCTCACGTGCCGGCAGATATGGCTCTGCGCGCCACTTCCGGCATGTGTGCCACAGATTCACCATCATGGGCTCAGCTCCTAGCTCACCCCTGAAATAATTGTTCAGCATTTCTGTTAAGAAACAAAAAACTACAGGAATGTTTCTAGTTTCTCCTACCTTAACTTCTTTTTCTCGTATTCAACGTATAACCTAGCCATTTCCTTTTCATATTCCTTTTCAGGGGGTTCTTGGATGTAGCGTGCAATCCACCGACTTATAGGATGCTGGAAGGAAAACCAAAGCAGGATCATTTGAAATAATATTTTGCTTGCAGAAGGAAGCTACAGGCATCGACGGGTTGGACTGAGGTCCAAAAACTCTGAAAAACGAAAAAGTCTGCCGTCTGCCTTCCCGTTAATGATACTGCTTTTTGGAACCACCCCAATGTCAGCTTCCAAAATTTCCTCTGACATTTCTCGTAGGTCATATGTCATCATGCAGAGGTGTTGCTAGGTTCTGGGTTTAAATCAGGGGTGTCAAACTCCATTTCATTGAGGGTTGTGTTTGACCTCAGGAGGCCAGGGTGGGCATGAGCTCAACATCACTCATGTTGGGGGCGCCTGTGCTGGCCCAAGTGTTCTGCCAGCGAAAACGGGCTCCCGAATTCTGTTTTTGGCTGTGACGGCCTCCTGCAACCCTGCCAGCGAAAATGGAGCTTGAGAGGGCCGCCCACAGTCCTCGCAAGCTCCGTTTTCGGCTGTGATGACTTCCTGCAACCCTCTGCCCTCCCGAGCTCTGTTTTCATTGGCAGAGGCACCGCGGGCCGATCCCTCACTGTTTCCAGGGTGGCCCCGTGGGCCAGATTTAAACATCCTGCGAGCCAGATCTAGTCCCCGGGGCTTGAGTTTGACACCCCTGGTTTAAATGAAAATAGATTCTCTAGAAATTCCTTCAGTTGTGAATACAATTCTTAACAATATCATGCATACACATAATTAAATATTGTATTTCTTCCTAATCAAGACTATAAATTACAGAATAAAAACGTGAAGCCAATTACAAATGCATTCCAATTTGCCTAATCTAACTTTCAAGAGCTTTATTCTCCTAAGGCTGACTTATAAAAATTCACATTTTTTCCCCCAAATTTTGTACTTACTTTATAATACTCCCAATGTTCTGGAACATAACCTTCTGGGATCTCAGCCAATTCAGCTTGACCTAGGCAGAGACAAGGTCATTATGTTACAGTACAACAGACATGTATAAAAATATACTGATGGAACAACACGGTCAACAAATGGTGCCAGTCACAATTTATTGTCTTCCTAATGGGAGGATAAACCTTATGCTTGTAATACTGTTGAAGGCACATTTATTCACCAAATTCAATGGTGAATAAATAACTTCCACAGCTATTTAAAAATAAAACAAAAAATATAACATTAATTGTACTTTTACGCAATGAAGATTATGCAATACTTTCTTTTGATGTTTTGATTCACATTTTGCATCATTCCAACCATCATCTTGTGTTACCATTTTAATCCATATTTTTTTAAAAAAAATATTCCAAAGAGGGGGACAATTAAAAGAATTTCTAATAAATTAAAAAGCATGATTGCAACAAAACATAAAACCATTTACCAAGATTAAAACCCCAGACTCCTTTAAAGCTATGATGTAGCACCAATTTAATACATTTGTGGATGATCAGATATGACTGAATGTGGGGCTGGAAACAGAAGAATGACAAGATTATCCAAAGGAAACAGGAATTTCACAATCAGGATATATCACAATGGGACATAGTTAAGAAAGCAACTTTAGGCTATAGCATAAAAAAGAAGCAAACTAATAAAAAGAGCACATGCATCCAGAAAGCTAGGAGCTTTAGATCTTATTAAGTCAAATCTCCTTATAATAAAGAGAGCTGTGAAGATGCAACATGATGTAGTCCATTATTAATTTCATAAGCCAAAAAAAAGCAGAAAACCATCAAGAAACTTCTTCTGAGGGGCTTTTTAAAAAATTTCTGTAGCCCAGCCGTCATCAAGCTGGTAATTAATTAGACTGAAATTTCTAAAATTCCAAGGGAACTGATTTGAAGTCTAAATATCTGGGGAGCTCATAATGAAGAATGATGGTTCTGCTTTTTCTAAAAGGCAGCTGGACCTTCTTGGTTTTTTCCCCCCTTTGGAAATATTTCACTATAAATCCTTACATTCTCCACCAGTCAATTAGAACTGAAGAAGCTTCTTGGATGAAAGACTAAACATTTTCAAAGGAAAAAACAACAAGAAAGTCCAGTTGCCTTTTGGAAAAAGCACCTTTGTAACAACCAGTATGTGGATGATTGAGTATTACTATAGACATTTAGCTGATGGTTCTTGTCTTGTCCAGGGAAAACAGAATTCAATATCACTGAAACAGCAGTCATTCAGAAATGATACAATTATCTGCAATATTCAGCAGTACAAACCAGAAGAAAAGAGTCTAAGGTGCAGAAGTACTTACCAATAAAGACATTAGCAAAGGCTACAACAAGAAGCACTGGGATTCCAGTTAACAAAATGTACCAATTCTGTTAAAGAAATGGGGGGAGGGGGGACAGCAAAGTCAATACAAAGCAAGTCCACAAATTTTTCACCCTTTTTTATGTACCTACAAGCTGAATTACTTTTCTTTCACCCTGACATATATGCAGAAAATTCCCGGAATTTTCAGGATCACTGAAAGATTAAATGCAATAAATTTTAGAAGCGCTTAGAAAGTATGGTCCAATGCAGGAATCCAAATTAATTTCATTCGTTTTATTTATGGCCCCATAGCAAGAGAGGAATCTAAATTAAAGCATCCCTGATAAATGTCTGCTCTTTAATATCTCCAGTAAGGAGAGTTTATCACTTCTCAGAATAATTGTATCACTATCAAACTATTCTATGTAAGAGGCTTTCATAACATGCAGTTGAAATCTACTTCTTCAGTTTGCATGATTTGGGGTGTCCTGTAGTGTAGAGGGGGAAAAGAACTTACATTTGTGCGATATCATTTCAGGCATTTAAAGAAAGCTAACACAACACCCTATAATGTAACACTCTTTCTAAAGATGCTAAGACTCTAGAAAGTGCAGAGAGCAGCCACAAAGATGATCAGGGGACTGGAAACATACAATGAATGTGACTGAAGGAACTGGGTATTTCTAGTCTAAGAAGGAGAAGGACTAGGGGTGACCTGACAGCGATCTTCCAATATTTGAGGATCTGCCACAGAGAAGAGGGAGTCAACCTTTTCTCCAAAGTACGTGAGGGCAAGACAAGAAATAATAACAGAGGGAATCTTGCCAAAGAGAGATCCAACCTAGAACTAAGGAGAAATTGCCTGACAATAAGAACAATTGATCTCTGGAAGGGCTTGCCTGAAGAAATTGTGGGTGCTCCATCCCTGGAGGTTTTTGAGACTGGACAGCTATTTGTTTGAAATGGTATAGGGTCTCCTGCTGGAGCAGAGGGCTTGGACTAGAAGACCTCCAAGGTTCCTCTTTTAAGTCTGTTCTATTGTTACTGTTACCTCAGCCCTCTTAGAAAAAACCTCCAAGGTTCCTCTTTTAAGTCTGTTCTATTGTTACTGTTACCTCAGCCCCCTTAGAAAAAACATTACCAATTCCTTCATCCTCTTTCCACAATATTTAATTTTTACTCCCCTGTCAATCCACTCAGCATCTCAGCCAGTTTTTCAAATCCTTCTTAAAGAATGGTGCCCAGTACTAGACAGTACTGAGAAAGGTGGAATAAAGTGAAGCTGTTCATTCCTGTGATTTGAAAACTATATTTCTTTTCACACAGTCTAAAATTGCTTTTTTTCCCCCTCCTTCCACTCTAATTTTTTTCCAGACCTTATTCCTAAACTTACCAGTAATCTCAAAAACCGGCTGTCATAAAACCGTGTTGCTCTGATGTAAAACATCTTTTTTCCATCGCTGGCATGGCGCAGTGAAACTGAAAAAAATAAATTGGCATCTTAGCACAAATCAACAATTACTTCTGCAATCTTTTCAGAACACAAAAAGCTCTGAAATTGTTGTCTTATTTTTCAGGTAGCCTTTCACACACAGCTATCCTGCAAAAGGAAAAATAAAGAGGAACCTACCCTATTCTGTTCCACACAAACCAGCCTGGTGACACAAATAATGTGTTTCACAAAGAAAGGTCTGTGGTTTCAATGATCATATTAGGGTTAATAGATCTGGAATGCCAACAGACAACCCCTAAGTACCAGTAATAGCAAAGTTGTAAAGCTTACACCGTACACAGGTAGTCCTCAACTTATGACCAAACTGAACCCCAAACTTTTGTCGATGAGTGAAGACATTTAAGTGAATTTTGCCCCATTTTATGCCACAGTTGTTAAGTGAAGCACTGCAGTTAAGTTAGTAACATGCTTGTTAAGTGAATCTGGCTTTCCCGTTGATTTTGCTTGTCATAAGATCACAAAAAGTAATCACATGACCATGGGACACTGCATCCGTCATAAATATGAGTCAGTTGCTAAGCATCTGATTTTTTTGATCACACGACTGTGTGGATACTGCAAGTCGTAAGTGTGAAAAACGGTCATAAGTCACTTTTTTCAGTGCCCTTGTAACTTTAAACAGTCACTAAGTGGACCACCTGTATTTTTGCTGGCATCTAGACCTGCCTTTCTTTAGCCACCTTGAATGTAAGTTTACTTTACTCAGAATAGGCATTTTTTTTAAAAAGAAACAGTGCCAGGAACATCAGTTCCTTATCAGCTTAAAACACAGCTTGGAAAGGAAATGCATTTTGCCAGAGCCTTTTTGAGGAGCTCAGCCCAACCTATCTCACAAGGCTGTTGTGAGGAATAAGTAGGCGCTCCTGAAGGAAAGGTGGGTGGAAATCTAACAAAATAAAATCAATGTTGGACTAGAAAAAAACAACATTGGTTCATGCTCTCACTTTCATTTCTGAGATTGTGGTTAGTCCCTGTTTTCAATCCTATTGGACCCCCAGGCAGAATCTCAAGAGTTGAAGCTCCTTTCAGGAATCATAGAATAACAGATTTGGAAGGGACATTAGAGGTCATCTAGTCCAACCCCCTGCTCGAGCAGGAGAGACTATTCCAAATATTAGCCGCTACTTAGGATCGAACTCAGCCTCCCGATTATGAAGCGAGAGCTCAGGACACCCGCCCGCCACCTTCGGGGCATCTCGACAGCCTTCCCAGCTCTGTCCGCTCCCAAGGTCAATTGGCCTGGGACTCTCCGAGCATCTCCTGTCGCCCAAGCCCGTCCATACCGATCACTCCGGAGCGACTGGCACTCGGGCCTAGCAGGGCAGTCCGCCCGAGACATGCAGACAAGATTAGCGGCTGCCGTCCGCAGGTCCGGGCCGCCGTCCGCAGGAGCAGACTCATGGCCGCCATCTCTGGTTCGGGCAAAGCCGCGAACCTCCCAGTCGTACTTTGCGACGACGCTCAAGGCTGAAGCCGCGCCGCCGCCATCTTTGCCCTGGGCGGCGACAAAGTACCACCGACAAAGGAACAGCTAGAGGGGCTTCGTCGAATTTCCCAGGAAAGGAATTGTGGGAAGACGGCGGAGGCGTCATGGCGCTGACGGTGGTTTGCCGACGGTTATCCACGGTGCTTCGGGTGACCGGCGCGTGTCGAGGCGGTGCGGTAGCTTCGGCCTCCAGGTGGGGTCCTGTCGAGTGGAAAAAAGAGCCCGGGCTGCAAATCGGCTTTGAGGCCTTGCAGGCGAAAGGGTTGTCCTTGCGAATGGTGAAGAAGAGGGGAGCAAGGAAATGCATTTGGGGGAAGATGCGTATAATAGGATTGAAGCCTTCTCTGGAAAACAGAATAGAACAGAGCTGGAAGGGACCTTGGAGGTCTTCGAGTCCAGCCCCCTGATCAAACAGGAGATCCTATACCACTTCAGATAGGTGGCTTTCCAGTCTCTTCTTAAAAACCTCCAGTGATGAAGCACCCACAACTTCTGAAGGCAAAGCTGTTCCACTGGTTAATTGTCCTCACTGTTCGGAAGTTTCTCCTGAATTCCAGGTTGCTTCTCTCCTTGATTAGTTTCCATCCATTGTTATTTGTCCTGCTTTTTGGTGCTTTGGAAAATAAATTGACCTCCTTTTCTTTGTGGCAGCCCCTCAAATACTGGAATAGTGCTGTCATGTCACCCCTAATTCTTTTCTCTGGACTAGCCAAACCCAAATCCTGCAGCCGTTCTTTATAGGTTTTAATCTCTAGGTCAAGGGTCTTCAAACTTGGCAAGTGTAAGACTTGTGGACTTCAACTCCCAGAACTCCCGAGCTAACATGACTGGAGGAGGAATTCTGGGAGTTGAAGTCCACAAGTCTTAAAGCTGTCAAGTTTGAAGACCCCTGCTCTAGGTCTTTGATCATTTTAGTTCATGGGTCTGCAAATTTGACAGCTTTAAGACTTGTGGACTTCAAGTCCCGAAATTCCTCCTCCAGTCATGTTAGCTCAGGAATTCTGAGAGTTGAATTCAGTCCACAAGTCTTAGACTTGCCAAGTTTAAAGATCCAGTTGATCTTTGAACTTTTTCCAAACTCTCAACATCTTTTTGTATAGTATGGGAACCAAAACTGGATGCAAATATTCCAGGTGTGTTCTTACTAGGGTTTTATAAAACGGGTACTAATACTTCCCGTGATCTTGATTCTATGCCTCTCTTTATACAACCCAGGATTGTATTAGCTTTTTTGGCTGCTGCGGCTGCACACTGCTGGCTCGTATCCAAGTGATCGTCCACTAGACTTCAAGGTCTTGATAATGTATAACTCGTGAAAGTATGAGCTTGCTAGGGAAAAGAAAAAATTGGTAATGCCTGGGTCTGGTTCCTCTATTTAAAAACGTTCAGGTTCCCTCCATTAAATAAGTAAGGATAGGTAGTCCTCAACTTGCAGCCATTCGTTTAGTGGCCATTCAAACTTACAATGATATTGAATTATTTATTTAGCGTATGTCATGTGTTAGCCAGGGATCACCGAGGTGGCTGGCTGCCTCTGTGAAAGGAATTTTTTCGGGCAATGTTATCTTTACCTGTAGGACACCTGAATGCTGGTAGGCAGTCAGGAGAGGCTCCTTTCTTGTCCCTCCGGGGTCTTTTATTCGCTCATGAGAATCGAGCCACTGAGCTGCCGACCTCAGCAGTCCAAATTTAATTTCTGAATATGCTTAAAATGTTGTTAATTCTGACTTTTTGTTGTTGTTCAGAGGAATCATTGGTGATTGGCCAGAAAAGTCTACAGAAGTGAAGATTTGTCCCCGTTCTGTGTTGCTACATACATCAGTGTCTCGAAATGGGTTGGAGGAATTTTTTGATAACCCCAAAAACTGGGGAAAGGAGGTTAAATCAGGTAAAATACCTTTGTAAATAAGAGAAGGCAGTATTATAAGACATTCAGCAACAGTGCGTGTTGAATCTTAATTTGTAAAAATTGCTGTTCATAGAATCCATTTTTTTCAAAAGTGGATATTCCAGCCATTAGTCTGAATGTCAGACCTATGCTTTTAAACAACAATCAAGCAATGGATTACAACAATTTTATTGTGTGTTTTGGATTAACTTATGCATGAGTAAAAATATCCTAAATAATTTAATTGCCTTTTTCCTGATTTTAATGTGCTTTCCATTTTTTAAAGTTCTCCTGCATGTAAAAAGCATGTTACAAATGAGTTTTGTTGATTTGTTTTGAGTGGCTCCAGTTAAATCTGCAATTAGCAGTGATCAATGAGTAGCTCCATCTGCCAGAAAACAAGGTTTCCTTTTAAAATAATCAGTGATCCCAAGTCATAAATATATATTGCTTGGCTGCCAATGCCGAAGTGGATTCTGAGAAAAGTTTTTGTGCATCATCCTAAAATCCATAATAGGGAAAAAGTGTGCTGCTTTTCAAGAAAAATCCAGGGAAGTTGATAATAGGCTGACTTTTAAAATATAGATAATATAGAATAGTTAAGTAAAACAACAGAAAAGCAGCAAATTGAAAAGAACCCCCTATTTAGCAGAAGAAGAGGCATAAAATATAAATAGTATTGGACTCTAGGTTTCAGAATATACAGCTTTTAAAAGAAAACCTTTTGAATAGTTACAAAATGCTAGCTATTTCCACTTAATCAGCGCGGAGTAAAAAATTAGTATAGTCTTAAGATCAGGAGACTTTAAGGAAGATGTTCTTGCTTTACTTTGCTTTGTGGCTTCCACAGGAGATTCCTGGACTGTCGAACAACTTCGAGGCAAAAGCAGCAACGATTTGCATAAGCTTTGGTGAGTGTTTCTTTGTATGATTTAAGAGGCCTGTTTTTTGTTGTGACAAGCTGTTTGGAGAAATGCTTACCCATTTCAAAAATATGCATTAGATTTCATTTGTATCCACAAAGCCTCTTGCTCTTGTCATATCTCCAGGTATTCAAAAAACTAAACTTTTAGAGCTTAGATTCTATGAGGGAAATGTCAATGGAGAAACTGTGTGATATGGTACTACAGGGCCACGTAAATCCAGTTCAAGCCTTAGCTGCAAAAGTGACCAGATGACTGAGTAGAACACTGCCTCTCTCTCAGCCCAACCAATATCATCGCATTGCTAAGGGAAAAATGTGAAGGAGGAACTAAGTATGTTGGCTTGATCTCCTGAAGTCATAGCACAGTTTAAACATAATATGCCAATAAAGGTTATTAGTTTGGCTGAGATTTAAGTCATAAATGATAAGGGAAGGGCATGAGGTATAAGAGAAGGTTTTGGAGTGGGTAATACAGGTAGACCTTGACTTACAATCTTTCATTTAATGACCGAAGTTACAATGGCACTGCAAAAAAGTGACATGACACTTTTTCACACTTGCAGCATCCCCAGGGCCATGTGACCAGAATTTGGACGCTTGGCAAATGGCTCATATTTATGATAATTGCAGTGTCCTGGAGTCACATGATCACTTTTTGTGGCCTTCTGACAAGCAGACTCCCCCATTGAGCCAGATTCACCTAATAACTGTGCCATTAAACTTAACAACTACAGTGATTCAATTAACAACAGTGGCAAGAAAGGTTGTAAAATGGGGTAAAACTCACTTAACAATTGTTTCACTTAGCAACAGAAAAGATGGGCTCAGTTGTGGTGGTAAGTTGAGGACTACCCGCAGATTATAAAAGGTGAAAAACATGGGAAATTAAGCATCAGTTGCAGAGTGTTGTAAGTTGAAGAGGGACAAGAGTGAAGAAATGTAAGTGCAAAAATATCTAAGGAGTAAAATGTGCCTAAAGGAAGAGAGTTTAGAAAGGCAAGAGTCCAGAGGACAAGAATGTAAGGAAATTACAAATCAAGGGTCTTCAAACTAGGGCAAGTTTAAGACTTGTGGACTTCAATTCCCAGAATTCCTGAGCTAACATGACTGGATGAGGAATTCTGGGAGTTGAAGTCCGCAAGTCTTAAAGCTGTCAAGTTTGAACACCCCTGTTATAAATAGTGGAGATATAGAAGAAAGGAGATAATGAAAATAGAATGGAAGGACCATAAGTGGTGGGTTGGAAGGAAGGCGGCGGCTAGAAGAAGCAGCTAAAGCAAGCAGAGGACTGGTAGATCTGAAAGTTAGACTAGTAGGGAAATTCTACCAGGTGTGGCTTCTCCTGTCATTGCGTCTTTGAGCAACTCAGAGGGAAAGCGATGTCTTAAAAGCTGCATCTAATATAAGTAATTTTCTGATGTGTTCAATGTGATTATGTTGATATTACAATTAGTATTGTTGTGTGGCAGTACCATTTTATTTGCGTGTAATTAAAATATGTGATCACAGTAACTGTCTAGTTTGGTTCTGCAACCCAACAAGACAGACACAAACTCCAGAGAGTAATTAGGACTGCAGAAAAAACAATTACTACCAACCTGCCTTCAATCGAAGACCTGTATACTGCACGAGTCAAAAAGAGGGCTGGGAAAATATTTACAGACCCCTCACATCCCGGACATAAACTGTTTCAACTCCTACCCTCAAAACGATGCACTGCACACCAGAGAGCACTGCACACCAGAACAACTAGACACAAGGACAGTTTTTTCACTCTGCTAAATAAATAATTCCCTGAACACTGTCCAACTATTTACAAAGTCTGCACCACTATTACTATTAATCTCATCACTCCTTATCGCCCATCCCCTCCCACTTGTGACTGTATGACTGTAATTTTGTCACTTGTATCCTTACGATTTATATGAACTGTTTTCTGGTATGAAATGATTGCTTATTGTATCTTATGACTGTTATTAAGTGTTGTACCTTATAATTCTAGACTCTTGATGAATGTATCTTTTCTTTTATGTACACTGAAAGCATTTGCACGAAGAAAAATTCCTTGTGTGTCCAATCACACTTGGCCAATAAAGAATTCTATTCTATTCTATCAGTTGTAGCTCAGTAAAAAAAAAA